GGCTAATTTCAACCTTTTATTTAAGGGTTTAACCTGTTTATATTTAAACTAATTACTGACAATAAATAATTCTTCTTCTGTTTTTTTTTATTGTGGTAAAAACACATGATATCTATCCTCTTATGAACGTCTTTAAGTACACAATACAGTATTGCTGTCAGTATAATGTTGTACAGCAGATCTGTAGAATTTATTCATCTTGCCTAACTAAAACTTTATATTTGTTGAATAGCAACAATCCATTTCTCCTTCCCCCAGACTCTGGAAACAGTCATTTCACCCTCTGTTTCTATGAATTGATGATTTTAGATACTTCATATAAGTGGTATCATGCAGTATTTGTCCTTCTGTGACTGGCTATTTCACCTCGCATAATGTCTTCCAGGTCCATCTATTTTGTCTCAAATGGCAGGATTTTCTTCTTTTTCTTTTAAGGATGAATAGAATTTCATTTTATATATGTATATACCACATTTTCTTAATATATTCTTCTGTCAATGGACATTTATGTTGTTTCCCTTTCTTGACTATTGTGAATAATGCTTCAATGAACATGTGAGTGCAGATATCTCGTTGAAATCTTGATTTCATTTCCCTCAGATAAATACACAGAAGTGAAATTTTTGGACGTATGATAGTTCTATTTTTAGGTTTTTGAGAAACCTGCATACTATTTTACATAGCATTGGCATCATTTTACATTCCCACTGACAGTGTACAAGGATTTCATTTCTTTACATCCTTGCCAACACTTGGTATCTCTTTTTTAAAAGATAGTCATCCTAACAGGAATAAGATGATATTTAATTGTGGTTTTGATTTTACATTTCCCTCATGATAAGTGATGGTGAGCACTTTTTTCATATACCTGTCGATCATTTGAATGACTTCTTTATTTTTTTAATTTTTTTAATTTCTTTTCAGCGTAACAGTATTGTTTTTGCACCACACCCAGTGCTCCATGCAATCCGTGCCCTCTCCAATACCCACCACTTCTTTAAAGAGATGTCTATTTAAGTCCTTTTTCCATTTCTAAATTGAGTTTCAATATCTTCCCTTATACATTCCAAGATCCCAGGGGATATTTGGAACTTCCGATAGTACTGAACCCTACATATACTACATTTTTCCTATATATACATACCTACAATAAAGTTTAATTTATAAATTAAGCGTGGTAAGAGACTAATGACACCTAATAATAAAATAGAATAATTATACCAATAAACTGTAATAAATGTGATGGTAATGTACTCTCCCTTTCTCAAAATATCTTCTTGTAATGATGTGAGATGATAAAATGCCCATGTGACAAGATAAAATGAGGTCGAGTGATGTAGGTCTTGTGACATAATATTAGACTACTACTGTGATGTAGTATTACTGCTACTGTTGAGGATCATCTGCTTCTGGACAGCAGTTGATTACATATAACTGAAGGTGAAACTGCAGGTAATTTTTGTTTTGTTTTGTTTTGTTTTTGCTACTGAATGTAGGACTTCCTTATATATTTTGGATATTAAGCTTTTATCAGATATATAGTTTTAAAATATCTCACATTCTTAAATTGCCTTTTCACTTGTAGCAAAATTTCTGGTATGCAGCAAAAGCATTACTAAGAGGGAATTTTACAGTGATTCCTTACATTAAAAAAGGGAAAATCTCCTGTATAAACAACCCAACATCACATCTCAAGGAATTAGAAAAATAAGAATAAACTAAGCCCAAAGTCATCAGGAGAAAGTAAATAATAAAGATCAGAGCAGAATTAAATTAAATAGAAAACAGAAAAACAATATAAAAAGTTAAAAAAAACCTGAATTAATTTTCTGGAAAGATAAACAAAATTGACAAACCCTTAGTTTGACTAACTAAGAAAAAAAGAGAGACTCAAATAATATCAGAAATGCAAAAGAGGACATAATAACTGATGCCACAGAAATAAAAAAGGATTATGAGAGGTTATTATGAACAATTAAATACCAACAAGTTGGATAATCTATTAGAAATGGATAAATTCATAGGAACATACAACCTATCAAGACTGAATCATGAATAAATAGAAAATGTGAAGGGAGCAACAATGAGTAAGGAGACTGGTTCAGTAATCAAAAACAAAGAAAAACCCAGGATCAGACAGCTTCATTGGTGAATTCTCCTGAACTGTTAAAGGATAACTAACACCAATCTTAAATGTTTCTAAAAAAAAAATTTAAAAAGAAGAAACACTTCCAAACTGATATTGGCAGAGGATGGGTAGAATAATGACTAGGTCCATCTCATGTTACCTTCCCTTATGTAGTCTTGCTGATGCTAGATGAAGGGGAAGTCTCAGCTTCCTTCTAGGGGTAAAGTGGCTTGCCAAATGGCTACAACTTCTATCACCTTGTTCAGTCTCATTGATGTTGTGTGGGGTAGAGAATTAAACAGCCACTGGAACCTGTTAATACTACCATTGCTAGAGAACCAGAGCACTGCCAGCTTCTGCCAGATGGGGAATAGAAGATTACCTCCCTGCCATGCCCCTGGGATACTATCAGATCTCTGCTGTGCTCCTGTGATACTGCTAGAGGCAGGTGGGGAAATTTGAATGCTGATGCCTACTTCTGTGAGGCAAGGGCAGGATGGGACCTATTGACTTACTCTAATCTACTGAAACCATGGTGGGAGGAGTACTGTTTTACCATTGGTATTTGGCTGGAATAGGACAGATATTGCCAAATGTTTTCTATTGTTATATCACTCTTTCTGTAGTCTTTTCCCTAAGGAGAACAGGCTTTTTTGGAATTTTTTAATTTGCCTTTTGGTAGGTTTATTTTCAAGTGTTATGAAATGCCCTATCCAGGATATACATCAAGGAAACCAAGGGAACTTACTACTGTGTTGTTCCTTAAGTCTAGAGGCAACTTTGTAGTCTGCCTTCTTATTTTTTAAATTCTTTTCAGAGTCTTCCTATGCTTTTTTGTCTTGTTATGTCCAGAGATGTTTTTCTATTATGGGTAGGTCCTGGGAAAAGTGGGGCAACTTCACTTTGGCAGAACTGAAATTCTCTGTAATGGTTTATTTTTAATTAAATAACAGCAAAATTGAGCTCTTATTGTGAAAAACTTGTTAACTGGAATAGTTACTTGTATTTGTTCACAGATTTATATTTAGAATATAAGGGAGAAATCTAAAGTTTTCCATTTCTTTGAGAAATGAGAGGGCAGTTTCACGAATTTCAAGGTCATAATTATTGCCATTTAAGCATTACAAATGAACTATGAATATCTGATGGATGACATGAGGAAAAACTTATGAAGTTATACATTCTCTTCAAAATAATCTACAAATTCAGCAAAATCCCATTACATATCTCCAGTCGCCATTAAAAGAATGTTAGTGGAGTATTGTCACCAAGATGGCAGAACAGAAAGCCCCGGATCCTCCTTACCCCATGGATACATGAACATAACATTGCACAGATTGACTGCATTCATGAAAACCAGTTACAAAGCTCCAGAACTACAGGCCAGCATACGCCTAAGAAGAACCACATTGAAGGTAGTCAGAAAATTGCTGGTAGTTACTCACCAAAGCTCCCACCTTTGGTACAGCACAATGTGGCTTCTTTCCAGGGAGGGAAAGAAAAGAGTGGAAGGCACAACCAACATTCTGACTTCAGTTGGTTGCATTAGGGACTGGGGTTCTCTTACATGAATCAAAACACTGACAGGAATTGGCACTAGGTTGAGGGCTGCTGAGACAAAGATAATCACTTCAAGGTCTAACCCCAAATAATCTACAGTACTGAGGATAGACACTAGGTAGAGCTCATGTGCTATAGCTTGCTACAATAGCAGCAAAACTCTAGGAGTACAAAGAGTCATCAGGGAAAGTTCCTGAGTAGAAACAGGGAAACCTCTTCAACTATGAGATCATGCGTACAAACCCAGAAAAAATGCACTCCCAGAGAAGGATTGAGAGGCCTCCAGAATATCAAGGTAGGCTTATTGGTGAAGGTCATCCTTATACAAAGCCAGACTCTAAAAAACTAAGCGAAGTGGCTGTTTTTTCAAATGCTCAAGTCCCAACAAAAGATAACAAGACATACAAAGAAACAGGGAAGTATGGCCAAGTTGAAGGAACAAAATAAATCTCCAGAAATTCACACTAAAGAAATGGAGATATATGAGTTACCAAAGAATTCAAAACGACTGTCATAAAGATCCTCAATGAACTAAAAGAGAACATAATTTTTCTTGCATAAAAATTCTAAATGACTTTTAGATAATCAAAGTGTAGATACTTTGCACTAAAAGAAGGAAAGCACAAATCCCTATGCCTGAAATACAGTCTGCTGACTGAAATGAATTCCTTTTCCAAAATACAGTATATTAAGGTGGCTAGGGACAAAGGGCAATTTTCCAGTGAAGAAATTTGACAAATTCTACCTTAGCTAAGTGATCAATGTCAGTATCAATAGTGATAAATCATATTGAGAGTATTTATTTTTGATATGAAGTGATGAAAATGGCAACTTACCTATGTTGTATTCCTCAAAAAAGAAAAACCATAATCCTAGTTTAATCATAGTCTTAAAATTATAAAAATTTCAATAAAAGGGTATTCAACAAAACACTTCACCAATATGCTTTAAAACTGCCAAGGTCACCATCAATATGAGAAATCTGAGGAATTTTCACTGCCAAGAGAAACCTAAGGAAACACAACAATAAACATAATGTAGAATACTGAATGGGGTCCTGGAGCAGAAATACATTAGGTAAAAACCAAGGAAATTTGAATAAGCTATGTACTTCAGTTAAAGATAGAGCATTAATATTGGTTCATTAATTACAAAGAATGTACCATAATAACATAAGCTGTTAATAATAGGAGAACCATGTGAAATGATATATGGGAACTCTGCACTATATTCTCAATTTTAGTGTAAATGTAAAGCCATTCTTAAATAAAGTCTACTTTCCTTTTTTTGCTTTTTAAAAAATTTTTCTTAAGTGCTTGTTTTGGCAGCCCATATACTAAAATTGGAACAATACAGAGAAGATTTGCATGGCCCTTATGAAAGAATGACATGCAAATTTGTGAAGCATTCCATATTTTTGAAAACATAATGGTCAAAACCTTTGGGATGCAGCAAAAACACTCCTAAGAGGGAAGTATATAGCAATACAGGTCTACTTCAAGAAGCAAGAAAAAATTAAAAAACAACCTAACTGCTATACCTAGGTAACTAGTAAAAGAAAACAAATGAAGCCTAAAGGAGCAGAATAAGGGAAATAATAATGTTTGGCACAGATATAAATGATATAGTAACTAAAAACAGTAGAACAGACCAATGAAATCAAGAGCTGGTTCTTTGGAAAAAAAATAGACTTATCAAAAAGCACACATAAAGGACCCAAACAAATAAAGTCACAAATGAAAGAGAAGAAATAACAACCAATGCCACAGAAATACAAACAATTATAAGAGAATATTATGAAAATTATATGCCAACAAATTGGACAACCTGGAAGAAATGGATAAATTCCTAGAAAGAAGCTACCAAAACTGAAACAGGAAGAAATAGAAAATTTGAACAGACCAAAACCCAGAAATGAAACTGAATCAGTAATCAAGAAACTCCCAACAAACAAAAGTCCAGGGCCACATGTCTTCACAGGTGAATTCTACCAAATATTTATAAAAAAAAAATTTCATTTATTTATTTTTGAGAGAGAGAGAGAGAGAGAGAGAGACAGCGAGCATGAGTGGAGGAGAAGGTCAGAGGAAGAAACAGACTCCAAGCCCAATGTGGGACTAAATCCCAGGATCCTGGGATCATGACCTAAGCCGAAGGCAGACGCTTAACTGACTGAGCCACCCAAGCACCCTCTACCAAACATTTAAAGAAGAGTTAATACCTATTATTCTCAAACTATTCAAAAAAATTCAAAATGGAAGGAATACTTTCAAATTCATTCTATGAGGCCAGCATTACCTTGATTCCAAAACCAGACAAAGATTCCACTAAAAAAAGAGAACTATAGGCCAATATCCCTGATGAACATGGATGTAAAAATTCTCAACAAAATACTGGCAAATTGAATCCAACAGTACATTAAAAGAATCATTGAGCATGATCAAGTGGGATTTATCCCTGGGCTATGAGGATGGTTCAATATTTGCAAATCAATCAATGTGATATACCACCTTAATAAAAAAAAGGATAAGAACCATATGATCCTTTCAATAGAAGCAGAAAAAGCATCTGACAAAGTACAATATCCATTCATGATAATAAAAAACCCTCAACAATTACTTCAACATCATAAAGGCCATATATGAAAAACCCAGAGGTTATATCATTCTCAGTGGGGAAAAACTGAGAGCTTTTCTTCTACAGTCAGGAACAAGACAGGGATGTCCACTCTCACCGTTATTAGTTATTATAGTACTAGAAGTCTCAGTTTCAGCAATCAGACAACAAAAAGAATTAAAGGGCATCCAAATTGGTAAGAAAGAAGTCAAACTTTCACTATTTGCAGATGACATGATACACTATATAGGAAACCTGGAAGACTCCACCAAAAATTTGCTAGAACTGATACACAAATTCAGTAAAGTTACAGGATACAAAATAAACATACAGAAATCTGTAACATTTCTATACACCAATAATGAGGCAGCAGAAAGAGAAATCAAGGAATTGATCCCATTTACAATTGCACCAAAAACCATAAGATACCTAGGAATAAATCTAACCAAAGAAATAAAAAATCTATATTCTGAAAACTATAGAACACTTATGAAAGAAATTGAAGAGGACATAAAGAAATGGAAAAACATTCCATGCTCATGGATTGGAAGAACAAACATTGTTAAAATGTCTGTACTATCCAAAGCAATCTACAAATTTAATGCAATCCCTATCAAATTACCACCAGCATTTTTCACAGAGCTAGAACAAACAATCCCTAAAATTTGTATGGAACCACAAAAAACCCTAAATAGCCAAGGCAATCATGGAAAAGCAAAGCAAAGCTGGAGGCATCATGATTCCAGACTTGAAGCTATATTACAAAGCTGTAGTCATCAAGACAGTATGGTACTGGCAGAAAAACAGACACATAGCTCAATGGAACAGAATAGAAAACCCAGAAATGGACCCACAACTATATGGATAATTAATCTTTGACAAAGCAGGAAAGAATATCCAATGGAAAAAAAGACAATTTCTTCAACAAATGATGTTGGGAAAACTGGACAGCAACATGCAAAAGAATGAAACTGGACCACTTACCATGCACAAAAATAAATTCAAAATGGGTTAAAAATCCAAATGTGAGACCGGAAACCATTAATATCTTAGAGGAGAACACAGGCAACTTCTTTCTAGATATGTCTTCTGAGGCAAGAGAAACAAAATGAAAAATACACTATTGGGACTTCAATAAGTTAAGGGGGAGCATGCGATGTGATGAGAGTAGTAGGTGTTATATGCAACTGATAAATTATTGAACACTACATCTGACACTAAAGATGTACTATGTTGGCTAATTGAGTTAAAAAAAAGATAAAAAGCTTTTGCACAGTGAAGGAAGCAATCAACAAAACTAAAAGGCAACCTATGAAATGGAAGAAGGTATTTGCAAATGACCTCTTATGAAGTGTTTGTAGCCAAGATCTATAAAGAAATTATACAACTAAACACCCAAAAAACAAATAATCCAGTTAAAAATGGGTAGAAGACACAACTAGATATTTTTCCAAAAAAGACATACAGATGACTAACAGACACATGAGAAGATGTTCAACATTACTCATCACCAGGGAAATACAGATCAAAACTACAATTGTCTATCATCTAACACCAGTTAGAATGGCTAAAATTAACAACACAGGAAACAACAGGTGCTGGTGAGGATGTAGAGAACAGGGAGCCATCTTACACTGTTGGTGGGATGCAAACTGCAGCAGCCACGCTGGAAAGCAGTATGGAGGTTCCTTAAAAATTTAAAAATAGAGCTACCCTATGACCTAGCAACTGCACTACTAAGTATTTATCCAAAGGATGCAAAAATACTGATTCGAAGGGAAACATGCACCCAGATGATTATAGTAACATTATCAACAATAGCCAAATTATGGAAAGACCCCAAATGTCCATCGATTGATGAACAGATAAAGCAGTTGTAGTATGTGTACACACACACACACACACACACACACACACACACCCTCTAGAATATTACTCAGGCATGAAAAAGAATGAAATCTTCCCATTTGCAACAACATGGATGTAGCTAGAAAGTATTACACTATGTGAACGAAGTCAGTCAGAGAAAGACAAATACCATATGATTTAACTCATATGTGGAATTTAAGAAACAAAACAGATGAATGTGAGGGGGAGAAAAGAGAGGCAAACGAAGAAACAGACTCTTAACTATGGAGAACCAACTGAGGGCTGCTGGAGGGAAGGTGGGTAGGACGTTAGGCTAAATAGGTGATGGGGATTAAGAAGGGCACTTGTGATGAGCACTGGGTATGGTGTGGAAGTGACGAATCACCGAATTCTACATCTGAAACTATTATTACACTGACCATTAACTACATGGAATTGAAATAAAAATTAGGAGAAAGAAAAAATGAAGTTTTTGTTTCAATTCCACCTAGTTAACATACAGTCTAATATTAGTTTCACGTGTACAATATAGTGATTCAGCACTTCCATATAACACCTGGTGCTCATCACAACAAAAAAAGTCTATTCTAAAAACCTCCCAAATAAAAAATCTCCAGGCCTAGACGACTTCATTGGAGAATTCTGCTAAATGTTTAAAGAAGAATTAATATCAATTATATAGAATCTCTTCCATAAAATGAAAGTGGAGGGAACACTTCCCAATTTATTTTATGAAGCTAACATTATACTTACAGAAAAGTCAAAGACAGCATACAAAAAAGAAAACTGTATCAATATCCATAATGAACACTGACGAAAATTCCTTATAAAATGTTAGCATACGTAATTCAGCAGTGTAGAAAAATAATTATACACAATGGGATTTATTCCAGAGATGCAAGTTTGGTTCAATATTTAAAAATCTGTCATTTTAATCCATCATACTCACAGGCTAAAAAGTGAAAATTATATGATCCTATCAATCCATGCAGAAAAAAAAAAAACAAAAGAAATTCAACACTTATCCATAATAAGAAATAAACTCTCAGAAAAATTCAAACAGAAGGGAACTTTCTCAGTTTGAGAAAGAGGATTGTATTAGTTTCCCAGAACCACCCAGAAACTACAGAGTGGCTTAAAACCAGAAATTTATTGTCTCTAAGCTCTAGATGCTCTAAGTTTGAAATCAAACTGTTAGAAGGGCTATGCTCCTTTTAAAGCCTCCAGGGGAATATCCTTTCTTGCCTTTTCTGACTTCTGATAGCCCCAGGCATTCTTTGGTTTGTGGTAGCATAATTCTAGTCTCTTCCTTCATTGTCACTTGGCACTCTTCCTAAATGTATCTCTCTGTTCTCTATCTCCTCTTCTTCTTCTTTTTTTTTTAGATTTATTTAACTATTTGAGAGAGAGAGCACGATGGGGGGGGGCAGAGAGAGAGGGTGGAAGAATCTCAAGCATATGTTGCACTGAGCTCAGAGCCTGACACAGGGCCCAAACTCACAACTCCAAGACCATGATCCGAACTGAAACCAAGAGTCAGATGCTCAGCCAGCTACACCTCCCAGGCACCTCTCCTCTTCTTATAAGGACACCAGCCATATTGGATTAGGGCCCACTTTAATGACTTCATCTTAAATTGACTATATCTGCGAAGACCCTGCTTTTAAGCAAGGTTACACTTGCAGGCACTATGGATTAAGACTTCAATAAATCTATTTGGGGGACACAATTCAACTTGAAATGGTCCACTCTCTGGTTCTCCAAAATATATACATATTAATCAATCCTTTTTTAAAAGATTTTTTATTTATTCCTTGGAGAGAGAGAGAGAGAGAGCAAGTGAGCAAAATCAGGGGGAGAGACAGAGGAGGAGGAAGAAATAGGCTCCCCACTGATCAGGGAGTCCAACCAAGGGGTTCAATCCCAGGGCTTTG